GAGTCTGGAAGCCGGGTGGGGATTCTCTGGTGCGGGGTACCGAAGGAGAGCTGTGAACCATGGCTGGGCAGTGGAATATGCTGGGTTGGCTACGTGGGAGCAGAACAAAGGAACATGGTGAGATGATAAAAGTATGCTCACCTGAAGTGAGCCATCGCCCCCTTTCAAACATTCGTTTTCTTGGTTTGCAAAATGAGTTAGAATGGATATCTGGGTTATTTTGACCCAAAATAAAAAATATAAATAACAGGTAGCATTAGCGATGTGTGAAGGAAGGATTGGTATGTTCAATCACCAGAGTTGGGACACTTGGCTTTCCATATGGGAGAAAATAGTAAAAGTGAATCCCTACTTCCCACCACAGACGAAACAAAGTGTTTCCAATACAGATTCCCATGTCTCACGGTGGGCGTCCTGGACCTTGGGACCTCATCATTCCTGAAGCCCTCCAGAGACCCATTTAGAAACCCCTTGTCTTGGGGCACGTGGGTTGCTCAGTCAGTTGAACATCTGACTCTTGGTTTTGGCTCAGGTCATGATCTCAGGGTCATGGGATCGAGCCCCTATTCGGGCTCCGCGCTCAGCAGAGAATCTGCTTGAGATTCTCTCTCTGTCCCTCTGCCCCTCCCCCTGCTCTCTCTCTCTCTCTCTCTCTTAAGTAAATAAATAAATCTTTAAAAAACAAAAAAACAAGAAGAAACCCCTCTCTGGGCTATTAACTCCCTGGGGGCTGGGACTCCAGCGGTTTTTGTCGTTAAATCATTTGCACCAGGTATAGTCCCCTAGAACATATGATGAACCCTGACAATGTTTATGAAATGAATACACGATTTCAAAAATTCTAAAAGAAAAAAAACATTCTAAAAAAGGTCATCCATTTTTTTCTTTGACTGTCATCAAGAATAGAATAGATTGTCATACACCCAGAATTAGTTGGGGTTACCGACCTGCCTGCAAGCGGGAGGGAAAGCTGAGCAGAGGCTTCGTGGTGAGATCAGCCTTGTTCCCGAAATCTAATTTAAAGATATCTGAAAATATTACACACACCAGGAGAGAAACAAGGCCCACCCCAAAATATTATTAAACCATAGTTTAACTATGGTCGTGACTACTCCTTGTTTCATTTATTAAGTGCCTGCTTTGTGTAGAAACACAATCTTCCTAACACGAGTTCTTCCCTCTTTTTTGTTTATTAAGGCATAACTTACATATAATCAACTTCACCAATTTCAAGTGTACACTTTGATAAATTGGGGCATCTGTGTACAATGTGTAATCACCTCCACAGTCAAGATACAGAAGGTCCTCTGGTCCTACAAAGGCTCCTCCACACCCCCCGCCCGCCCCCTGCCTCCATCCCCTGCCCCCACCTGCCCCCACAGGCAACTACTGATCTGCTTAGGGTCTAACACTTAATTAAAATAACAATAATGGGGCGCCTGTGTGGCTCAGATGGTTAAGCGGCTGCCTTCGGCTCAGGTCCTGATCCCAGGGTCCTGGGATCGAGTCCCACATCGGGCTCCCTGCTCCTTGGGAGCCTGCTTCTCCCTCTGCCTCTCTCTCTCTCTCTCATGAATAAATAAAATCTTAAAAAAAAATAAAATAACAATAATCATCACTGTAGAGTCAGGAATTTTTTAATTTATTTTTTTATTTTGAGAGAGAGAGCACGTTTATGCGCACAGGGGAGGATGGGGGGAAGGGGCAGAGGGAGAGGGAGAGAGAGAATCCCAAGCAAAATCCCCGCTCACAAGGAGCCCGATGCAGGCTCGACCTCAAGACTCTGAGATCATGACCCGAGCTGAAATCAAGAGTCCGATGCTTAATTGACTGAGCCCACCCAGGTGCCCCCTGAGTCAGGAATTTTGAAAAAATGCTGTGGCCAACGGGTGTAAACACAGAGGAGCAATAAGAATGGGGAAGAAGGGGCACCTGGGTGGCTCAGTTGGTTGAGCGACTGCCTTCGGCTCAGGTCATGATCCTGGAGTCCCTGGATCGAGTCCCGCATGGGGCTCCCTGCTCAGCAGGGAGCCCGCTTCTCCCTCTGCCCCTCCCCCCTCTCATGTGCTCTCTCTCTCTCATTCTCTCGGTCTCAAATAAATAAATAAAATATTTTAAAAAAAAAGGGGGGGGGAAGAAATTGATAATCTAGCTAGCCGGGCTGCAGCCCTGAGACTGGACGCAGCTTCCCTTGACCATGAATTAGCCCCGCTGGAGCCCCAGGGTTGGAGGCCACGAGGGAGCGTGCCACACTTTCCGAGACTGGGTGTTCCAAGAATTTTTTGCAAATAGCATGCTAAGACATTTTGACGATTGCAGAAAAAAGAACACAAGGTTGACATACACTGCTTGGCTAGCAGTCTGACAACTGGGTTTATGAACATGGAGCTAGATTCTTTTTAATCTGATGTCTTCAAGAACCCCTGGGCCTCCAGCTCGCTCTCTCTCTCTCTCTCTCTCAAGATTTTAAATGGCTACACTGCTTGAAGATGAAGCACTGGAATATATAAGCTTCTGCCTCGGAGAGTGTTTTCTCTCTCTGAAGCTATTAATTAAGAAGCTCGGAGCCCCTGGTTCCCACCAAGATTGATTAGCCCAAACTGAAATCCGGGGGTGGTGGTATGTCTGTGAGATATATCCAAAGGCAGCCGAGGCAAGAATATGGAGAGGAGAGTTTTCCCTGGAGCCATTGAGAGGCTTGTAACTTCTGCCTCCACACAGGCACCAGGCACTGTCTAGATCCCGAGGCTAACCCTGAAAAAGGCAAGCAAATTCCTGCTGCCTTATGGTAGGAAGGAGCTCACATTCTGATCATGGGCACCAAGAACAAATGAACAAGGAAGACGGTGCTCTCAGGCAAGGACTAAAGCAGGGAGGGACACAAAGCAGGAAGATTGGGAGTGGGAGGTGAAGGGAGCACTTTAGGGGGCTGCTCAGGGAAGGCCGCTCTGAGGAGATGACCTTTGAGCTGAGACTGGAATGACAAAAAGGGCTCAGCTCTTGCTAGAGAAAGCGTTTTTAGAATCAGGACCAGCATGTGCAAAGGCCCTGGGGATGGGAAGGAGGTTAGTGTGTTCAAGAAAGAAGGCAAAGGAGGCCTGAGCACAGTGACCAAAGCAGAGAGGGGTACAAGCCGAAGTTGGAGAGATTAAGACATTTTGCTCCAAAAATGCAAACTTAAGCCAGCTTGAAAGCCGAATTGGGAAGGCAAGTGAGCAGGTATCCCGGTGGGTCGCTGCCGGGCAGTAGTTGGGAATGTTGAGAGTGGCACAGTCACTTCTTCCTCAGTCCGGTACTGATCATACACTGGGAGCTGGCAGGAAATGTAGAATTCTTCTAGCCCAACCCCCTCATTTCACAAACGATGGAACAGAGGCCCAAAGAGGGTAAAGGTCTTACTGATAAAATGGAGAAAATATTTGCAGTTCATTATCACAGACTGAGGGATCAATTTCCACTACTATATAAAGAGCTGCTGGCTGGTCACCCTAGAGCAGAGCGAACAAGCGGGGAGAGAGGTTCAAGAAGAAGTTGACAAGGGGCACCTGAGTGGCTCAGTCGTTAAGCGTCTGCCTTCGGCTCAGGTCGTGATCCCAGGGTCCTGGGATCGAGCCCCGCATCGGGCTCCCTGCTCGGCGGGAAGCCTGTTTCTCCCTCTCCCACTCCCCTCCTTGTGTTCCCTCTCTCGCTATGTCTCTCTCTGTCAAATAAATAAATAAAATCTTAAAAAAAAAAGAAGAAGTTGACAAAAATCCCAACATAGGATCACACACAGCTGCTGGCCCGGGGAACGCAGGTGTGCTCATACCTTCCCATGGGGGCGGGTGGGGGAATGCACAGAACTTTCATGCCAGCTAGCAGTTTTGATAAAATTAAAGCCCATGGCTGGTCAAAAACTAGAAAGCACTCAGATGTCACTCAACAGGTGCATGGATAAATAAACCGGAGTTTATACGGACAATGGAATACTACTTAGCAGTAAAAAGAAACACATTACTACTAATCCCTGCAGGAACATGGATTAAACTCACAAACATGCTGAGCAAAGAAACCAGATACAAAAGAGAATATGCCGTAGGATTCTGTTTCTGTGAAGTTCTGGATCAGGCAACGGATAGTTTTCTGGGACCAGAAGCCGAGGTTGACTGTAAAGGGACATTAAAGGAATATTTAGGGGTGATGAAAATTTCTTATATCTTGACTGTTGTGGTGGTCACGTGTATATCTTAAAAGGAGTGGGCCCTTTTTAATGTATGTAAATTATCTCCATAAAGTTGATTTTAAAAAATAAATTGTTAGGGGTGCCTGGATGGCCCAGCCAGTTAAGCGTCTGCCTTCAGCTCAGGTCGTGATCCCAGGGTCCTGGGATCCAACCCCACGTGGGGCTCCCTGCTCAGCGGGAAGCCTGCTTCTCCCTCTCCCTCTGCCCCTCCCCCCTGCTCGTGCACTCTCTCTCTCTCTCTCTCTCTCTCAAATAAAATCTTTAAAAAAAATTTTTTTTTCCTAGCCTCCACTATTGTGTGTGTATATATATATATATACATATACTGGGCATGTGAAGCGCTCAGGGGAGGAGACAGCAGCTCTTTGCAAACAAATACGTCCCTGTAGAGAGAGACAGTTTCTGTACGTGGACTTTTGTCTACAGTCATACTGAAAAGGTGTGGCAGTTTCTCTGATTGCTATTTAATGCTGCACAGGTGGGGCATGAACATATACTGCTCAAAGCATCTAGGCTGTGATCTAGTGGTTTTAAGTGCAGAAAAATTAATAAAGCAAACGAGACACTTGTCAACACCCATCAGCAATAGGCTGCTTCTTTCCCATTGTAAGGACAACACTGTCATGTTACATCAGACCACCTCCCCCCCCCCAGACCAGGAGGAAGGGAACAAAGGTGTCAAAGAGGGCACCCTTCCTAGACCAGCAGAGGGGACGGCAGCAAGTTTGGAGACCTAAATAAATCATCCTGCTCCCTCTGTTTTTCCTCCTTCCTCCAGAAGCTTCTGAGATTGCCCTGCCACACGGAAGTAGCATTATGGTTTTCATAAAGCCTGGGACCCCACCTCTGCCAGTGAAGCCCTGTTACATCATCAGTTCTAAAAGACATAAAACCTCGTTGACCATCAAACCTGGAGAAAAAGAGGTTTTTTCCTTCAGCTGCCACGACCCAGAGAATCACTTTGTCGTTGAGATCCAGAAGAATATCGGTAAGTACACACTCACGAATGTTTGGCCTCCCTGCTTCTCTTTCCAGTCCTAAACCAGCCTGCAATGCCGAAACTCCACACTCTGTTTAGCTGTGATGTGGCTGTTCGTGGTTCTCAGCGCTTTACACAGGTTACATTGTTGAATCTCCAAAACAGCCCTATGAGAAACTCGCAAAGACAGTGACTTGCCTAAGATAGCATAGCTAATAAGCATCAGCAGGACAAGAACCCAGGTGCTCTGCCTCCAGGCATTGCCTGCCAACCACTGTGCCACACTGTTTCTTGATGGAGCTACAGATCTTCCTTCAGGTCTGGGATGCTCCAGCTGATGTGCTAAGTTTTTAAACTAAAGTTTAAAGTTTTTAAATTAAAACTTTAAAGCTAATTTAATTCAAATTTAAACTAAATTTTAAGCTAAAATTTTGCTGACGAGGAGCAAAAAGGAAGGGAGTCGGAAGACAAAGAAATTGGAGGAGCACCTAGGTGGCTCAGTCGGTGGAGTGCGCGACTCTTGACCTCGGGGTTGTAGGGTCGAGTTTCACATTGGGTATAGAGATTACTTAAAAAATCTGGAAGGAGGGAAGGAAGGAAGGAAGGGAAGGAAGGGGAGGAAGGCAGGGAGGGAGGGAGGAACAAAGGAAGGAAGGAAGGAAATTGGATGGTTGACGACATAATGGTAGGGAGGTGGGTCCAGGAGGCATAGTGGGGAAAACAGCAGCTTTGAGGCTGAGGGAGCTGGGTCTGGCTTCCAGCTTCAGGCTCCTGATTGTGTAAGCTCATCATGTGGCTTTAAATGAGTCACTCAACTGCTTTGTGACTTGGTTTTTTCTTCTGTAAAATAAGAGTCATTGTACCAACCAACAGGGCTCTCTTGAGGGTGATATAAACTAATGGACTAAAAATGTTTGACACACAAGGTAACAAACTATGGTTATTTGGGATTAGTGTTATTCCTCATAATTTTGAATTTCGGATAGGAGATTGACATAACATATAATCACCAGGCAGAAAGAATTAAATGTAGAATCTCCCAATTGCTTTTAGGTGGGCATGCCAACTAGTAGCCTGGATGTAGTAACAACAAGGAGAACACGATCTGGGATCCAATTAAAGCTGTACCCAGAAAATTTCTTTTGCCTTTCATTGAAAATAAATGAATCGGGCAATAGATAAGCAAGAAAAGGGAGTAAAATGAACCTTAGGAAGAAGTTCAGAAAAAACAAAAGGAGGGCGCCTGGGTGGCTCAGTCGGTTAAGTGTCTGCCTTTGGCTCAGGTCATGATCCCGGGGTCCTGGGATCAAGTCCCACATCGGGCTCCCTGCTCAGCGGGAAGCCTGCTTCTACCTCTCCCTCTGCCACTCCCCCTGCTTGTTCTCTCTCTCTCTCTTTTGCTCTCACTGTCTCTCAAATAAATACATAAATAAAATCTTCAAAAAAAGAGAGAAATTAAAGTACTTATCAGCAGCTTTAAAACTACATCTGATAGGGCGCCTGGGTGGCTCAGTTGGTTAAGCGACTGCCTTCAGCTCAGGTCATGATCCTGGAGTCCTGGGATCGAGTCCTGCATCGGGCTCCCTGCTCAGCAGGGAGTCTGCTTCTCCCTCTGACCCTACCCCCTCTCATGTGCTCTCTCTCGCTCTCTTAAATAAAATCTTTAAAAAAAAAAAAAAAAGAATTAAAAAACTACATCTGATAACTAAAGCTAAGGCATGGTTCTCTATAAAGACTAATTAAATAGACAAATCTCTGACTAGTCCCCTGGAAAAAAAGAAAGAGAACATACAGATATACAGCATTGAAAGGATAAATGTTGATTGAATGACATTTACAGAGGCAATTTTTTTTTTTTTAAGATTTTATTTATTTGACAGAGAGAGAGACAGCGAGAGCAGGAACACAAGCAGGGGGAGTGGGAGAGGGAGAAGCAGGCTCCCGTGGAGCAGGGAGCCCGATGCGGGGCTTGATCCCAGGACCCTGGGATCATGACCTGAGCCAAAGGCAGACGCTTAACGACTGAGCCACCCAGGCGCCCCTTACAGAGGCAATTTCTAAAATAGACTATGTACAATATTATGATAATAAGTGTGAAAATCTGAATAAAAGGAATAATTTTCAGGGAAAATGTAATGAGCCAGATTGACTCCTAGAAAGTTAGGATACCTGAATAAATAACCAAGGAGGAGATTGGAAACCATGTCCAAGGTGGAGGAAAACAGGGTTTGGGTTAGTTAGACATGGTTTCATAGAGGATCCTATAAAACTTCAAGGAGAAGATAAGTTCTTATATTTAAACCATTCCAGAGGAGGGTTGGGAAACCTTTTCCGTAAAAGGTAGTAAATATCTCAGATCGTCTCTTTCCCAACCACTGAGCTCTGCTGTTACAAGATGAAATCAGCCACGGATAGTAGGGAGACATCTGGGCAGTGATGTCCCACATGTGTATGCTTGGTGGCAGGGATTGGGCTGGACTGGGCCCATTTGCTGTGATTTGCTGACCCCTGTTCTAGAGCACCGAAGGAGGTGGATTTTCATAGTTCATATAATAAGGCTCTTACAACCCTAAAATCAAAATGTGTCAGAACATTAAAAAAAAAAAAAAAAAAACACAAAAAACCCACTGTCTAAAGAGGTTAAGAGATCCCACGAGAGCCCAGCAAGAGCTAATCCATATGGCCCTGGGCACATTGGAGGTGTGGCTAGAAAGCCCTGGCAGGGGTGGCTTTTTTTTTTTTTTTTTTTTTTAAGATTTTATTCATTTGAGAGAGAGAGAGCATGGGCAGGGAGAGGAACACTGGGAGAGGGAGAAGCAGACTCCCTGCCGAGCAGGGAGCCCGATGCGGGACTCATCCCAGGATCCTGGGATCATGACCTGAGCCAAAGGCAGACGCTTAACCGACAGAGCCACCCAGGCGCCCCAGAGGTGGCTTGATATAATGAAGTTTCCACGAGCTCCTAAAAATAGGTCCTATCTTTACCCACCCGCAAAATCTAACTTTAACCACCTTCGTCACCTTATCGTCTGACCCCATTTCATGGATCAGTCAGCACGACGTGTTGGCAAGAACTCTGGTGGACCAAACACAGCCTGGGCTTTCGTCCTGGGATCGTAGGCACCGCAAACACACTTGTCACCCAGACTCCAGGACCGCCTTGCAAAATTGAGAGCTCGGGTGGGAATGACCTCGGAGGTCCTAGCCAGCTCTGAAATTCTCCCGTGATCCCACTTTGCGTCGGTGGTCCTTTCAGACCCCCGACGGGAGCAGCACTAGGGGTGGGAAGATTTCCTGTTCCAGTGGCCAGAAGCCACTGCCCATTCGGATTCCCTGCCCGGATACAACAAAGTGTCCCTGTTCTGTCTGCCTTCTATCACTTCTTCCACGGGCTCATTTCCTCCTTGAGAGCAGCGTTTTGTGCTTTGTTTTAAAAGGCTTAGGAAACAAAACACATCAAAGGATGTCATTAGCTGTTTGCCTTTGGAAAAAAATTTAACTGCACTGGTCATAAAACAGTAGCATTACAGCCCCAAGGCCGAAGGATAACTGTGCCTCCGGGTTCCAGCCATGAAGGGGGTTGTAAGTTCAGAGTACTAGGTATGTTGATGGGTACGTTGATGGAAAAACCAGTCTTGAAAGGCGAAGCTGAGCACCGTGCCTTCGCAGTTGTGAAACCGTGACTGTCTCAGACCCGGTGTGGGGGGGACGTGGGGTATCCCACAGCCCGGGTTCCATTGCAAAGGGCCTCCATCTGGCTTACTCCAGTCTGGAAAACACAGTAGTTAGGAGGTGACTTGTGTCTGGTTCCCTGGAAGCAGAGCCTGACATGGGGATTTTTCAGTCATTTGTCCAGAGGGTGCTCTCGGAACGAGGAAGCCGTGAAAAAACAAAGCCAAGGGAGGAAGTAAGCGAAGGTGTGGTTTTAGCTGAAGTGTAGCCACTGGCCGGTGCGGGCATATGAGCGGCCTCACCAGGTTGTGTCCCTTGAAACAAGGAGGTCAGGCTTGTTCACCCCTGCCTTGGGGAGCAGTGATTGGCTGTGGGCTGCTACCCACCCTGGGAGGGGAAGAGGTGCAGGCTCTCTGGGCCAAGGGGGCTCCCCCTAGCCCCCCAGTTCCCCCCCAAACACCCACACTGCCAGGAGATCATGCCTCTGCCTGGGAGGAGGGGGCAGCATCTCCTCCAGGGGTCAAGAGAGGGCCTGAGTGGCCTGGTGGCATCCGTGACCAAGCTTGCTTTTGTGACTGTGTTTCAGACTGCATGTCAGGCCCCTGTCCATTTGGGGAGGTCCAGCTTCAGCCCCCCACATCGGCGCTGCCCACCCTCAACAGAACCTTCATCTGGGAAGTCAAAGCTCACAAGAGCATTGGTCTAGAGCTGCAGTTCGCCATCCCTCGCCTGAGGCAGATCGGGCCAGGGGAGAGCTGTCCGGACGGAGTCACCCACTCCATCAGCGGCCGCATTGATGCCACCGCGGTCAAGATCGGGACCTTCTGCAGCAACGGCACTGTGTCCCGCATCAAAATGCAAGAAGGGGTGAAAATGGCATTACACTTGCCCTGGTTCCACAACCGAAACGTCTCCGGCTTCGGCATCGCAAACCGATCTTCTATAAAACGTGAGCACGCCCCTCCATCCCCACCATTGGCCGAGGCTGAAACCTACAAACCCCACCCCCTGCTCTAGGTCAGAAATGGGCAGATGTCCGCACCCTTGTGTGACTCGACCTGAACACCTCGAAGGAAGATCCCACTCTTCCGGGGGTGGTGCGGATCTCCTGGTGTGAACCCACCCTTCTCTATTAAACAAACCGTGTGGCCACTCTCTTTCCTCGGTCCTCTGTGCCCGTGAGGTTTGTTTTCAGAACACGAAGTGGGATTGGCTCTACAGACCGCCCTTGATTACCCCGTTGCTGACTTCTTTGTCCCATCTTCTAGCCCTTTCACATTTCTAGTAATTGTATCCTTGGTGTGCCGAAGCCGGTTCACACCCGCTCGTAACAGCTGATGGTTGACGTTCCGGAATTTTGTGGGCTGACGCTGAGCATTCATAGAAATAAAATGATGTAAACTTACAGTTAAAATAAATTCATTTAGAAACAAAGGTAATAGACACTCAAAACTCATCACTTCCTAATTATTTCGCTACGTTTTACTGTTATCTGTGCTCTTGAGGTTATTGATGTCGGTCGTAACTCTGTGGTGGGAAATGCCATACAACGGGGGGCTACTGCCCATCTGCTCCAAACTCCACATTCATATCATGTTGGTGGCCTGAAATCAGCCATGGTGCGAGTATTTACAGCAAGGAAATGGGCAGACATTACAAATTGGGGCTTTGTTCCCCCCCCCCCCCCCGCTGGGTGGGTCATTCAACATTTAGTCACCCACCACTGATGTATCCTTATCGGGGATAAGACCACACCCAGAGCTCGAGACCTGAGCATTGCTCTCATGGTTCCTCCCTAAGCCTGCTGCCTCTCAGCCATGGACAGCGGGGGCAGGGTCTAATCACCTCCTCTTCTTTCTCTTTCGGGTCCTACTACTGACAGGACTGTGCATCATCGAATCTGTGTTTGAGGGTGAAGGTTCGGCAACTCTGATGTCTGCCAATTACCCAGATGGCTTCCCGGAGGACGAGCTCATGACGTGGCAGTTTGTCATCCCCCCGCACCTGCGGGCAAGCGTCTCCTTCCTTCACTTCAATGTGTCCAACTGCGAGAAGAAGGAGGAGCGGGTTGAGTACTACATCCCGGGCTCCACCACCAACCCCGAGGTGTTCAGGCTGGAGGACAAGCAGCCCGGGAACATGGCTGGGAACTTCAACCTCTCTCTGCAAGGCTGTGACCAAGATGCCCAAAATCCAGGGATCCTCCGGCTGCAATTTCAAGTTTTGGTCCAACATCCACAAAATGAAAGCAGTAAGTGAACCCCACTTTCCTTTCCCCTCCTCCTCCAGCTCCTTCTTTCCTTCCTGGATAGTCAGCTTGGCGTGAGATTCCCGTCCTATTTCTCATCTGTGGCTTCGGGAACACTTGGACTCTGGACTCTCTAAGAGTTTCAGGAAGTGCGTTGAGAGTAAGACAGGCTCATTGGTGAATGCATGGCATGCCGCTCCATTTCAACACAGTAAGAAGCAAATGGGAACTTGCATGCAGGCTGTTGTTTTTAACAAAGGTGTTGGAAGTTTACTTTTTTTTGAGAGAGAGAGAGAGAGCATGAGCAGAGGGGGCGGGTGGTGCACAGAGGGAAAGAGAGAGAATCTTAAGCAGGTTCCACGCCCAGCACAGAGCCATCTCACCACCCTGAGATCATGCCCTGAGTGAAAATCAAGAGCTGGACGCTGAACTGACTGAGCCACCCAGGCATCCCCAGAAGGTTACTTTCTAGGTCACGTGTCTTGACCCTCAGTGTGAATCAATAGCGCCAGCACCATCAGCAATGATAATGACAATGAACCCTAATTGGCCGAGTGCCCCGCACCATGCACACACACTCCGTGCCAAGTCCTGACCTAAGCACGCCACTTAGCTTCAGCTAATCCTTATTACAACCCTACAGGGGAGGCAGGAATTATCCTCAATTACTGGTGAAAAACCAGGAGGTTCAGAGAGCGTTTAGAACTAGCCCAACATCACATAGCTTGTCAGGAGCAGAGCAAGCTCAGAACCCAGAGCCTGTGCTCTGGACCATTCTGAACCCCAGGTGGGTTGATGAGAATGAGGTTGCACCTCACTCTACACACATTTACTGAGATGCCATGAACCCAGAAAAGGTGAGTCAGGGCCAGGACTAGGGCAAAGTGCCCAGCATGCAACGTTGAAGGAGGCAACCCTCTGAGGCGCTTGCTCTTCTGGAGGTGCTCACCCTCAGGGTCGTGTGAGTACAAGGTCAGCCCCTGAGGGCGAGTGCCTCCTTGAACTTTGCTCTGTGGGGAGCGGCGTGGATCTTGAAATCAAAGGTATGAGATGAGTTCAGAGTGGCTGTTCCTGGGGCCCATCTGTAAAGTGGAGTGTGTGAAGGAGCAAGTGTGTGACTAGTGGTCTTCAACCTGTGACGTGGGCTCAGGATGAGTTCTGTCCCGAGGACTGATTCTCAGCCTTGGTTTGGTTAGTATTGACTTCCAGGAAGTAGGTGGAGCCAGGCTGAAATGGTTAAGTGGAAACACGATGTTTATTTAAGTAGAGCTGATAAACATCTAGACAGCAACAGTGTGGGACCCGCCCCAGGGGTTGCCGGGCTGGTGCTGCCTTGGGAATACTTTCTGGGTTTTTCCAGAAGCTGCAGCCCCAGCATAACCAGACTAAGACGCCTTTTGATTTACAATAACCCTGTAGAAGGCATCAGTGTGTGTGTGTCCGCTGACACATTTTTGTGATTCTGCTGTCACAATTGCATCATCACAACGTTGAAAACAGCCACGCAAGCATCTGGAGATGGTGTGGGTTTGAGTTTAGGAGACCGAGGGATTTGTTTCTCATCTCCCCTATGGTGAGTGCTGCCGATGTATTGCATTTCCTGGAATAAGAGCTGAGTTCATTTCCGCAACTCATCAAATTGTTAAACAGGCTTTAACCGGCGTCAAGAAGAGTCTGGCCTTAGGTGCCAGGTAAGTAAAGAGCAGTTAACTGCGTTTAACGCTGTTCCGTGGTATCATGGCTTCACGCAAAGTATAGGGTCTGCCCACGGGGATTTGAATCCCGGTTCCCCTACTTACCAAGTGACTGTAGGCAAGGCACTTAACCTTTGTGTGACTCAGTTCCTCATCTTAAAATAGAGAGGATAGGCCCACCCTCATAGGGGTGTTTTAAGGAAGAAATGAGGTACACGGTGCCTGGCAGGTAGTAAGCGCTCTTTGAGTGTTATCCAGCAGGGTTCTAGATCAAGGAAGGGATGCGGGGTTGAAAATGACGCAGCGCTTGTCCTTCGAGATGGACTACAACCCAGAGAGAGATGCAGGAGGTCACTCCCCAGGAGTTTCACTGGTGTGGCGTGGGACTTCAAGGCAGGGAATGCACAGCAGGCTGACAGGAATTCAGGGGCAGACTCGTGGCAGAGTCTGGCACTTTCCAACCTACCGGGGGGCCCGGATGGTTGATGCCCCTCATTGCCACAGTCAGGGGCTATGTATCCTGTTTCTGCTCTTTCTTGCCTTGGAAATGAGAAAGAAGAAGCTTTGGAGCAGGAGGGAGGTGCTTTAAGAGACTGAATCCCTCGGGTAGGAGCCTCTGCCCTTCCTTCCCCCAAGAGTGTGGAGGCAAACTCCTGCAGCTGGTCCCCCATGGAGGCCTCCCTCTGCTGCGCCTCCCTGAGCCCGGGCCAGGGCCTCTTGCCCCTCGCTTATCCCCCTTTGCCCCAAGTAGAGGAACAACTGCCCAAACCAAAGCCACTACTCCGAGAGCACTCGTGGGGACGGGGGTTTGCATTCATCACACACCATTTTGTATTTATGCATCTGCAGGTCTGTGTCCCACCAAATTCCTCCCAATCAGGAATCTGTCTTATTCCTCTCTCTTCCCACACCCACCACAGTTTCTGGCACATTTCAGCCTTTTGTAAATCCTTATCCTAATCTCAGGAGGCAGCCTCTTGCCCAAAGTGGCTCAAGAACCAGATGCACCATCCAATGGCACAGCCCATCGGAAGGGGCAGGTAGATACGCCTCGGTGGGGGCACCCAGGAGAGGGGCTGTTCCAAGAAGTCAGATGAGGGGAAGAGCGTGAGAAAGAAGAGCAGGAGACCTTCTCAAGCTAGAGATTGGGTGTCAACAGCAACTATGCAAAGCCAAAGCCTCGGCAAGGGCGGAGGCAGCCATCAGAGCTCCAGCAAGCGCCCAACACCCTCATCATCCACAGCAGGACCTGACCACAGTGGGCCCACACTGCAAAAAAAACAAAATAAAAACAATCTCTGAAGGTGGGAAACAGTCAGGTGTTACCTTGAACCTAATTGTCTGCTCCCAAAAACCCTACTATCAACCTTCTCTCTACTTTGCTCAAGAATATCAGATAGGCTCAAACTAGACCCAGAGTAGACCCAGAAGAGTCCTCCAGGGGTGTATTTCCATGACTTGACCACAGACATCCTATGTCGTGGGATGAGGAATGAGGGCTGCCCTGGGCCTGAGGAGTAACCCATCCGGCCTGCTGTAACTGTGTTTGTGAGCACTGACAACTTAGGCTGTCCAAAGCACAGCAGCTCAGCCGGGTTCAAGAGCTCGATTCACGTTCATCTCTACCAAACAGATCTTGTTTTTCAGTGTTCCATTCTGCACGCTCTTTCTTATTCTTTATTTTTTGATAGTACAATACAGTTGACCCTTGAACAACACAGTTTGAACTGCCTGGGTCCACTTATACACAGACTTTTTTTCCCAATAAATACAATATAATACCTTAAAAGTATTGTCTTTTCCTTACCATTTTCTTTTCTCTTTTTTTCCTAAGATTTTATTTATTTATTTGACAGAGTGAGACACAGCGAGAGAGGGAACACAAGCAGGGGGAGTGGGAGAGGGAGAAGCAGGCTTCCTGCTGAGCAGGGAGCCCGATGCGGGGCTCGATCCCAGACCCTGGGATCATGACCTGAGTCGAAGGCAGACACTTAATGACTGAGCCACCCAGGCGCCGCTCTTTTCTTCTTTTTTTTTTAAGATTTTATTTATTTGACAGAGAGAGAGCAAGCATGAGCACGGGGAGGAGCAGAGGAAGAGAGAGAAGTAGGCTCCCCACTGAGCAGAGAGCCGCCTAACCGACTGAGCCACCCAGGCACCCCCCCCCTTATGATTTTCTTAATAACAATTTCTTTTCTCTAGCTGACTTTATTGCAAGAAACAGTACGTCATACACATGACATACAAAATATATGTTAATCGACTATGTTATTGATAAGGCTTCTGGTCAGCAGTGGGCTATCAGTAGCTAAGTTTTGGGGGGAGGCAAAAGTTATATGAATATTTTCAACTGTGGGAGGGGGTCAGCACCCCTACCCCCTCATTGTTCAAGGGTCAATGGTACTACCCTGTCATACCTGTTATTAGTGTCCCATCATTTCCTGGAACTATACAAAATAATTTTGTCCCCCTTGAAGTTTCATCCTGATAGTCACAGTAGAGAAACAATGTCTCTGTTGTCTCCTGCGCCCTGTTCCTCTTTTTATACCATTCCTGCAAGTGGCCCTGTGGTTACTGATCACACAAATTAATAGTAGTCTGCCCAAATATATGGTTCCCTTTAGCCAGAGCAGACCACTAGCTTGCTGCTTTCTGCATCCTCCTCCAGCTTTTCGAAGGTATATTCACTTGCTCTGAAAATACCAGACAGACGAGTATCTTCTGGGTTATCAACCAAGGTAGATGAACAGCAGTTTCCAGCGTGTTACACCGTGTGCTTCCGTTAACCAGTCTGAGTAAATGCTGGTTGGGGAAGCAGTCGTATTGCTTCTTTTTCAGCTCCTGTAGACCTCCAGAAGCCACCTGGAGCCCTTAACGAAATGTTGACTTGGTTTTTGTTTTTGTTTTTTGTTGGGTAACTCAAGCTCGGTGAGTCTTATGTTTGTCCTGGCAGAGTCGACACGTATTGTGGCCTCTGACTTATTCCCATGGAGCCTGTTTTTATTTTAAAGTAAGAAATCTGGGGCTCCTGGGTGCCTCAGTCGTTAAGCATCTGCCTTTAGCTCATGATCCCAGGGTCCTGGGATTGAGCCCCACATCGGGCTCCCTGCTCCATGGGGAGCCTGCTTCTCCCTCTCGCACTGCCCTTGCTTGTGTTCCCTCTCTCACTGTGTCTCTCTCTGTCAAATAAATAAATAAAATTTTTTTAAAAAATAAGAAATCTCGGGGATGCCTGGGTGGCACAGTCGGTTAAGCATCCAACTCTTGATTTCGACTCACGTCATGATGTAGTTAGATCAAGCCCCGTAT